GCAAGGTGTGGCTGCTTAAAGGAAAAGGTTAATTATATAAGTATATAACTACCTTATTTGATCTGAGAATTAGAGGGCATAACCCATACCCAAGAGAAGAAAAAAAGATTAGTAGATTAAAAAATTAAAAAAATAAATAAATAAATAAAAAGGAAAAGACTATTAGAGAAGTAGACCATAAAATTCTGAAAAGGATGTGTTCATGTAAATCTGGCCAGCATGCATGTTACATCCAGTTAAACATTGTCAATAATTTGGACAAACCTCAAATGGACTGCAATATAGTGTTTTGCCATCTGACGCATTCTCATGACAAGCTTCTGACCAAGTTCTTCTATAGGTTTTGTAAATCTCAAAGCATGGTAATTAACACGGCAACGCAACCTTTGAAGCTCTTCATCAATGTCACTTGCCAGTCTATAATCAAACTTTGTCAGCTGCACAACCTACAAAATTTCCATACTGGTAATTGCATCACAGCATGTGAACCATGACCAGATCTAAAAAAAAAGACTTGCAAATGAAATACAAAAGTATCGGAGACAGTATGTGCTGGCAGTAGCCAACTAAGGTCTTGCCAATAATGTAGAATCAGTGTCAAATTTAGAGTGGTAACTTCAATTATGGAAATAATCTGCAACAAATACGTTAACTACAGCGTTCAAATAGCGTTCAAATTGGTCTTACACGTCTCCTCAAAAGTATTGGCAAAACTTGATCTAGATAATATTCAGCGGAGGATTTCCTTGGGACACGCATAGTATATGGAGGTTTTTCCATTGATCGCATGAATTTATCAGGAACTCTTTTGACAATGGTCACATCTTTTGATAGGTAAGAAATGAACCAGTCAACATCAAAAATGTTGATAAAGTCACTGCATATTAGAAAAAGTAAAGTTTAAGAACATATATTTGTGCTGTTAACTCTCAATGGAGACCATTTAATGAGATTATATAGAAAAGATATTTAGATGGGACCATTGATAAGCTAATTTAATTTACCTTTCATCCTTCCAATAGGAATGATGATCCAACTCTGGAACTACTAATGTTGCATTAAGAATTCGAGCAACAACAACAGCATCTGTTATCTGGAAGCCAAAATAAATAGTTACCACCACAGAAATAACAAATTCAATCACTAGTGCAAATAAAAAATACAGTAGAAAGACTAAAGCTTAAAGGGTCTATCTCCCGACCTCCAAAGAAGCTTCAAAATCGAAAACTCTTAAATCACTCCAATCAACTAAAGAATTCCACTTACTCCTGTTCTTAGTTGATTCAGTCCACCACTGGCTGCAATAAGCAAATAACCATTTGATGACTGCTCACGTACAGCAGCTATATATCAAAATTACAAATGTTAAGAGGTAAATATGTGAGAATAAATCATACTTTAGCTTTAGTCACATCAAGAACTACAATTCCACACAGCCATTACAAGATTCATAAGAATCCTAGCAAAAACTAAAGCGAAAAAATTGACACAATATGCAATGCTATGTAAAACTAAGGTGACTTACAAGCAAAATTAGGACCCCTTTGGCTACATCCACTGAAGTACCTCGAATATTCAGATTTCCAAATATCAATGGGTCCGCGACTAATCCCCTCCTACATCAATCTATGGCAGTTAAACATAGCAACAACCAAAAAAAAAAAAAAAAAGACAAAATTTTGAAGACTGAAATGTTAAAGAAACAAAGAAAACCGGAAATGGGAGTTCTTAATTTCATTTTTCTTCTGCTACAATCCTTACCAATTCGGAGAAGAAACTCCGTTTCACGAGTCTCTGAGAGTACCACTCGAGATAAGAAGCCAGGTGGCCAGTGAAGAGCGAAATCAAGCCCAAGCAGAACAGCATGACGCCGCAAACAACCGTCAAGGAGACAGGCTTCCGCTGCTGCCCCGGCGCAGACCTCCAACACACTGGCGTGTCGCTGTTGCCGCCGTTCAGGTGCTGTAACAGAGCGGGGCTCGCCTTGGCCACGCCCATCAGGGGCCCGATTCCGCCCTCAATCTCATCCCTTTCTCACGAAGAAAATGCCATCCCCGCCACAAAAAACCGGAACTCCCCTTCTCTGCGGTTACGATCACTGAACCAGGAAGTGAGAGTGAGTGGGAAAGGGGTATCAGTGTAAACAATGCAAAATGAAGCAATTATTAAGGTTCTTCGTGATCATTCAAACTAAAGCTTCTGAAATGCAGGTGACTGTGAGAGGTTTTAAGAAGAAGAAGAAGAAAAATGGAGATTTTTGGAGTTTTCCGGGATTTTTTTTTTTTTTTTTTTTTTTTTAAGAGAAAACAGATGCCTTCTTCGTAGGGGCGAGGGAAGGGAGGGAGGATAACGTTTTTTATGAAAAAAGATGACGCCGTTAATGGAATGTTCCTTAAAAATGGAGGGGTATATTAGGAACATTAAATGAAGTGGGATTAAAGTTGGTAATTACAAATTTAGAAATAGGGTTATTATAATAATATTTTTTAAAAAAAGTGTTGTTTAATTCATTCTACATCTATAACTCAAATTATTCGACTCATTTTTTGATATTGGGAGGATGTCATTTTCATCTTATTGTTTGTAATTTGTAATTTATATTACAAAATAAAAATTCTTAAATAATAAATTTATTGTAGAGATGGATTAAATTTCTGAAAAGAGAGAAAGGATTAAGTTATAAATATAAATTTTTGTTTCTTTTGAATATATATTTGAATTTAAATGATATTTTAAGAGAATGAAAAAAATCTCAAAGAGGTATTTGGTTGTGTGGGAAACTTTTTTTTAAAATTTTTTAAATTTTTTTATAATAATTTTTAACTTTGTATATAATACTTTTTTAATAAAAAAAGTGTACATAAAATTACTCTCAAACCAAATAAGTCTAAAAAGAAAGTTTAAGAATTTGAATTCCCTTTTTGTAGGTTGTAGATTGAGAATTTGTAAAAATAAAATATTTTGAGGGATGTAATATATATAATTCAAAGAGGAGAGGAATTTTCTATTGTCAAAAATCAAAGTCATAGTAATTCCCTTTTCCTTTTTCCGGCTGACATAATTCTTTTTACTTTAAAAGCCAAAATAAATAGCAACAAAAATTTGGGGAAAATAATAATGTGACGCATGACATCACCCACAAATAGGCAAAACCGGGGCACAAAGTCACATTCAAAATTCAATTAATCTCACAGCCAATTAAATTACAAGGGTTTAGTGGCATCCGTGACTTTTATAAAATGTTCACCTTTTTCTATTCTCGGATAACAGTTCAATCTGATCTCATAACAATTATTTCAAAAAAAATTTTTAATTACAAGGGCTTTTTCTATGCCATTCGTGGGATTATAGTGGTTCCCTACCACCACCAAACCTTGCCTTGGCATTAAGGATGGTCCTGGAGTTTTCCTTTTCATTTTTCTTTTTTTGCATACATATGGTTTGATACTAATAATTTATTAATTTAAGTAAAAAGAATTTAATTCCTTTTAAATAAAATTTTGAGTTTAAGTTTTACAAATTGAAAGATAAATTTTGAAAATTTTTTTTTATAGAGTCTAATATAGTTTGATTTCAAATTTATTAGAATTTAACATGATTTTTAAATATTAAACAGATTAATATAAAAAAAATGGTTTGGTACCATAATTTATTCTATGTCACAAGAAAAATGAAAAATACTAAATATCCCCATATGTAATGTAAATAATTTATAGGGATGTAGTAATTTAAAGTTTTTATGCAGACTATAACCAAGAAGATAAAAAATCCTTATATATTAGAATGCAATAAAAATTAACGCATTTAATCCAAAAAAAATTAATAAAAAATTATTCTATAATCTAAACTACAAAAATATCACCCTGCTAATGTAATTAATTAAAATATGTTTCCGGATTCAGCCACTTTTTTGTGTTTTGAGCTCACAAATGAGGGCTTTGGTCCTTTGGAGAAAGAAGCGAGATCTGTTTTGACAAGGAGTAATGTGAGTGCCTTTTTTTTTTTTCATTTTTCCTCTCAAGCGACAAAACAACATTGCCTCTGACAAAACAACGTTGTGAGGCACGCACGTGAAATTAAAGAAGATTCCTTTTTCCTAGTTCACGATATCTGTACCTAGATCTAAGTTCTAGAAGCAGAAGTTTTTTTCATTTTTTATGTCATACACTTCAAAGTTTTCATAATAATTCAATTCAATCATAATAGTGGATGGTATTGAAGAAGAGGAGATATCCAAATCCAACCAACATGGGTTTGTGGGTGCCTGGGGGTACCCTGCACATATGTAGATATTTTTTTTTTTTGGTGTTTATTATAAAAATGTTTGAGTTAATTTTCATGTATTTCAAAATTAATTTATTTTTTAGTGACCTTAAGAGTAAACCCATCATATTGGTTCGGTGCATTATATCCTTAAGTATTGATTTCCAAGACCTAAAATCTAGATCTAGATTACAATATAACATTTACTTATTAATAAATTTAATTTTAATAATTTGTCAAGATTGTATTTCAACAAAGGTTTGTGATTAGATTAAGAGCATATTTGGGTTAGCTTGGAAGAGTTTTTATTTTTTTTTTATACTGTTCATGAGTAATAAGTTTAAATTTTTATTGGAAGAAAAATTTTAAAGTTAAAAAAAATGAATAAAAAAAGAGTTTATGAAAAGTTTAAATTTTAAATTTTTGAGTTTTTACTGTTTGAGATTTTTTAAAGTTAAAAAAAATTTAAAAATATAAGTTTTTAAGAAAAAATTTAAAACTTATGAAACATAAATAATGTCAAAAAATTAAAGCACTTAAAAATTAAATCAAACATGCTCTAACAAAGTTTATATCATCATCAAGAGGCCTCAAGACTGGTCAAAATTAAATTATTACTACTAGGACTAGAGGTGGTTATGGTTACACAATTCAACTATTTGTTTATTAAATAATTAGATATAATATTTAAAAATATTTAATTTTAATTTATTAAATAATAAATATTAATTATTTTATTAATTATTAATATTCAAATTAAAGTACAAATTAAACAAAATTTGTGACTCTTTTAGAAATGGTGCTGTGGTCATAGCTAGCCACTGCCCTAGGAGTGGGGCAACCTTTTTGATTCGGTTCTTTATGGTCTGTGGACTGAAATCAAATTCTCGAGGCTGGTGCTTAATTTCTTGCTTTTCATTGGGTGTGAGACTGGGGCCTTAAACCTTAACCATGTTACCCTTACTACCCTTATTTCTGTTGTCCATTTCACTGACCTAACATGGAAGAATCGTATGCTCACCTAACAAATTATGAACAGGTAATAGGGAGATTAATATATGGCGTAATGGAACTCTACCAAGCGGGTTGATGGCAACGCGTCTCATTGAAGTTATTGGGTTGTTCACCAGATCTGAGTATCGAATCTCCAATTGTTAGTATCTAACAATACTAGTTTACTAACTAGTGCCCTTATCAAACAAAAAAAAAAAAAATGTGGGGTAATGTCCTTGATTGGATGGTTCATTCTCATATTTTGGGCCTTCCATTATTGGGGTTGCTCTCCCTACTCCTCCTCGCCTCTTCCTTCCCATACCTCATCACAGAACAGACTACTAGCCTTCAAAGTGCATAGCATAGAAAAGCCCAACTGCTCTTTTTGATTTTGGTTAAAATACTAATTTGATCCTTTAACTTTCAAACTTGCATCAAAATCGTCTTTTAGCTTTAAAAAATACCAAAATTATATCTAAATTTTAAGTTCTAGTATTAAAATAGTCCTCAAACTTTGAAAATAATACTAGTTTAGTTTTTAAACTTTGAAGATAAGTTCCAATTTTGTCTTTAAACTTTGATTACAAATTCTAATTTAGTTTTTCAATTTTGATTATATATTAATTTGATATATAAATAGAAATATATTACGATAGTAAAAATATGATTATTTGATTTTATACTTTATTAGCATTTTAAAAAAGAACTAAAATAATAAGTTACAATATTTATGTTAACGGTAGGACTTTTTTGGTCTTAAAAATTAAAATTTAGGTATAATTTTAGTATTTTTTGAAGTTAAGGGACAATTTTAATGTAAATTTAAAAGTTAAAGGACTAAAATGGTTTTTTAACCTTTGATTTTTGTGCATCAATATATTCCCTTCTCTCCTTGCTCTTAATGATGTTTGAACTTTAAAACCTCCAGTATAGAATCTTCACTTTTGGTTTGAGGAGAAAATAAAAACCAAAAGAGAAGAAGAAAGCATCTCCCATTTCCTTTCCTCTCCAAATAAAAAAAAAAATTAATCATTCTCCTCGTAAACTACATAAATTATAATGGGTTAAAGACAATTAAAATGTCTTAATAATTAAAATAATAAAAAATTCAAATATTCTTAATAAATTAATATATAAAAAATTTATTTAAGATATTTAAATAATTTTACACAAATATTAACATTTTAAATATCAGAACATCACAAATTTTCAATTATCTCATATCTTCGAATCTAAACTCTAATGCACAATTTTTCAAGTGTTCACTTTCAAGAACTCCAAAATAATAGGTAGCTATAAGGTAATTGTCAAAGATTAAATTAAGCCATGTCATGGTGATTAGGTGTAGGAGAAAATAAGAAGAGAGTTAATTAACCCATGGGCAACGAGTTGACTATTGCAACTGAACATAATGCCGTGGCAGTGTCTAATAGGAGCTAATTAGCAAACATGGTGCATGACTGCTGCTTTCATCAACCCCAGCAAGTCAAGTCGTCATCTCATCAAGCCAATAATTTAGGAATTGAATTTCACATGTGGTTGGTCCCTCCAAAACCAAACTAAGTGGAGTTGTGGACCTCATGCCACGTCGAGCTAGGCGTTTAATTAATTAATCCTCTATTTTGACACCATCATCGACTAGGCCAAGTAGATATCTGTGCCGCTGCTCAGGTATTTGTATTTATTTTTTGATAAAAAAGAGGATAATATAGATAATTCTGCTCTGGTATTTGTAACCAAAACGATTTTTATATGTATCATCGAAACCAGTCAGAACAAGGCTGAATGTATATATATATATATATATATATAT